GCCAAAGATGGACTTTATTTAGTTCAATATTCACTGACATTTAGAGCAAGAGGGTCAGGACTGGAGTAAATGAAGGTTATGTCATCAACAAATAAGATTGGTTTGAGGTGTTGGGAGGCATTTGGAAGGTCATTAATGTAGATGAGAAAGAGGAGAGGGCCAAGTATGCTGCCCTGAGGAACACCAATGTTGATGGGTAGGGTGGGAGAAATTTAATTATTCACAGAAACATACTAGAGCCTGTCAGTAAGGTAAGACTGAAGGTATTGCAGGGAGTGTCCTCTGACTCCATAATGATGTAATTTAAGAAGAATGTTGTGGTGGTTGACAGTGTCAAAAGCCTTTTGTAGGTCCACAAATAACCAAACAGGGAACTCATTTTTATCAAGAGCTGTATGTATCAAGTAAATCATATTAATCAGTACATCGTTAGTGCTTTTATTGGGTCTGAAACCATATTGGGAAGAGCTAAGTATATTGTGTTTGCCTAGATAAGAGTAAAGCTGCTTGTAGATTAGCTTTTCAAAGCTAATTTCTCAGTAAAATTCAAAGTTCTCAGTTCTCTAATTTCAAAGCTCATTAGCTACTTCTACTTAAGGTGCACAGGGGGTACAAACTGCGATAATTCAGGTCAGACCCTCGCCCATCAGGTTGGGTTCTACAGAGCACTCTGTACTAGTTTAAATGTTGTAGAATGGTCATTGTGCAATATGGGGCCACATTCAAGTCGGGGAGACCTTATCGAGCTTGTACATGTGTACCTGCAGCTGCCTGGCACAGTGGAGAATGTTGCTGTGGGGGACAAAATGGATCAAGAAGATCAGAATTTGACCTCAGTATCAATGCTTGGCTGCAATTACTGGTCAACTTGCCTCCAATGATGTCATACAACATCTGGGAAAGAACTAATCAAGGGATAGGCCTATGCAGAGGCTGTCCTCTGTTTGGTGTGTGGTGCCTATAATAATATATTTGCTCCTTACTCTCATAGGTTTATGGCAATGTTATGGTTCTGTTAATTCTATTTAACCTATCTAAGTGTTCCACATTCCAAGTAGTCTAACACTAATTTTAGGACCACTAATTACAATTCCAAAGTGTACAACTAATTACAATTAATCTCTCTTCCCAATGGTACAGGATCAACCAGGCCAGCCAATAGGTAACCTACCAGATGTTGGTCAGTTTAGCCAAGGTGAGAAGTTTGTAATACAAGTCTTCTTCAGCGAATCATCATCATTATTCTAACTCGAAGAGTGGTTCAGTATAGAGGCTGGGAGAGATACTGCAGAGGTCACCCACACAAATGTTTGAAGGACAGGAGGAGAATGAATTTAACCACAACTTGGTTATAAGAACATTGACCAACTAAAAGACTCAAAAGCCCCAGGTGTGGATGGCATTCATTCCAAGGTCTTCAACAAACTAGCAGAAGAACTAGCAGAAGGGACCCAGAATGTGGAATGACCTTCCCAATCATGTAAAAGGCTCTGTCTCTCTCTCAACCAGTTTAAGATGAAAACAAAGCACTACCTAATTAACTCCATGTAACCTACCTTACCCCTAAATGTCAACCAATGTCTTACTATTTTTAAACAATGCTGTTTCTTGACCAAATTGTATATTGACTATTTTCTACCATGTTCCCCCCTTTTTTAACTTATTTTTTTTCAACGCATTTTATACTTTAAGCTCAATTACTATTAAGTTTTAGTCCAAGTGTTTTTTCCTCACCTCACCTTGTCTGAAACGATATGTGTACTATTGGCTTTAGGTATTGTATGTACTAGCTCTATCTATAAATCCAACATTATGTTTATAAATCAACTATGTATGTACTTTCCTGAATAAAATTTACTTTACTAACAATGCTTGCCATTGAAACTACTTTCCACAAAATCTCTGGAACAAAGGTAGTACCCCTAGATTGGAAATATGCAAATGTCACCCCTATTTTCAAAAAAGGTAGAAAGAGCTCGGCAGAAAACTACCGACCGATCAGCTTGACATTACACATTTGCAAGCTCATGGAGAGAATCTTCAGGGAGGAAATCATTCACCATCTTCCAGTGAACAATCTTCTACAATTGACACAACATGGGTTTGTTAAAAACAGACCCTACCTAACAAACCTGCTCACATTTTTAGAAACGGTAACAAGCTACTCAGACAAATGCTTTCCAGTGGATGTAGAATACATGGATTTTGCTAAAGCCTTTGATACGGGACCACATGAAAGACTTATAAAGAACTTAAAGGCCCATGGAACAAGTGGTAAAATATTAGAATGGATAAAACAATGGTTGAAAGAAAGAAAACAAGGGGTACGTGGGTGAAGCATTTACAGCGTTGTGGTTCGAACATGAGTCGTCAGCGAAGCACTTGATCCGGTAATGTTCGGACGTCATTAGTTGCGAGTCGAGTGTAAACGTTTTTTGTTCATAAAAAGCTGGGGTTTGGCTGGTGCATGGAATAGAGTTTGGCCTTTGTTTACGAGGATGGGCAGCTGCATGGTAAAATTTATGAATGTGCTTTCATCCATCGGGGTTAACCGCTGGATGGAATTAACAGATTGAGGGGGTTGGTATAAAGTGTGTTTCATTCATAAACTGGATAAGGGGGGAAGTGGTTGGAAGCTTCATGGAATAAACATTCGAGCTTGGCTGGCGGGGATGGTAAACCTGTTCGGCTGACAAAGATGGTACGTCTGCTTTGTGGAGAATGGGCTGCTTTGGTGACGAGGATGGGCTGCATTAGCTTTGTTTAATTAAAATCCAGAGCAGAGCCACAAGTCTGCCAGCAGACTAAGATTATAGCTCTTGAAGGGAAAAAGAACCAGACCAATCCTCATCTGCTACGTAATATTGCACAGATGCATATAGAAGCAAACTTGGCATCCGACAGTTTCACATACTTCACAGATGGATCAGTAGACCAGCAGAGATAAGAAACTGGAGCTGCAGTTAAAGCAGGAAACTCTGTAAATAGTTGGAGACTCAAATGGGTGTTCAACTTTACAGAGATGCTAGCCATTCAAAAGGCTTTGGAACATGCTCTTGCTGAACACCGACAACATGTTAGCATACATACAGATCCGAGAACTGCCATTAAAACCTTGCAACAAGAACACATTCGTGACAACATCCATCTGATCACAAATGGCATATCATTAACACTTTCGCGCTTTCGATTAGAGATAACTCGTCACTGGTTTTTCTTACGATTCCGCATAACTGCCTACTTTTCTCGTCAATCGAAAAAATATTTCTATAAATTCCATTTTTTAACCGAAATGGATGGGGATACTTTTGTTTTGTAGAGAATTTATTTGCGAATTTTTTGGTACCAGAATGAATATTATATCACATAAACTTCTATGAGTAAAAAAAAAATACACAAAGTATGTTTGGGGGTGTGGCGAGCGTGTGGCAGTGGGTTCCCTTTAGCCGTTGATATATCCAACACGTGGGAAATATTTGTATGTGTTATGTATATGTCTGTGTAGGGAATTTTACTGCGATCACTGTCATACAAATTATAAAATGTTTCAACAAGTATAAACATGACAAACATCAAACGAACGAAAACAATGCGTTCGTTTCTGCCGCGAACGCATACTGAGCGACGTGGTTCTATATTTGGCGCTTCTCTTACACATGCTTTGTACAAATGTTATACAGTTCATCTTATAGAAAATTTTATTGCGAACACATTGGTATAAAAAAGAAATACGTACATAGAAAAGTAGGGTCAGGAAACGTATAAACTTTCCAAGCATGATTTCCCCCGTGTTTTCGCCAGTGCGCTCGCGGCTAACTACTCTCAACTTCACACACTCTTGCGGGTGGGCAATTACCTATATTAAACATTCATATGCATATGTCCGTGTAGAGAATTTTATTGCAATTCCAATGATACCAAAATTAGCGATGTAGGACAACTGTAGGCTTCGCAACCATTAAGAGAGTGGAAACATTTTGTTGCTGTTTGGCGCTCTCGGCGAGTGATCTGCATAGTTTTTTATTTGGTGTTGATACTCCTTATGCTTGGGCGGCATTTTATATGTATGCTCTTATAGACAATTTCATTGCGAACACAGTGATACCAAATTTAAATACGTGCGCCTTCAATTATTGTCAGGACAGTCAAAAGAGTGTACACTTTTTCGGTTTTACCGCGTAGGCGCGCGAAGTGCCAAAAGCATCTGGGGTATTGTTTTTTTTTGAGCGCCGAGAGCGCGAAAGTGTTAATGCAAACACTCAAACGTCAAGGCCGTTGGGTACTTATCAACTGGGTGCCGAGTCATGTGGGACTAATAGGAAATGACATTGCAGATGAAGCTGCAAAACTTGCAACTAGGAGAAGAAATGTACACATTTATATACCACAGTCTATCACAGATTAAGAAAGTAATTAGAAACAGAGCAATGCAAAAGATGTACAGTGACCAGAACACAGCAGTTGCAACATCAGGATCTGCGGGTCGGTATAAAAATTCAACCAACTACAAACCACTTAATTTGATGAAAGGGAGCAGTAGAGCAACAGAAGTACACTTACATCTCATCAGGCTTGGATACCCATGTGCATGGGAAATAGACTTACAGGTTTGAGAAGATGAGAGAAAATGTCAGCACTGTGGAGAAATGCCAGACCATTATCTACTGGAACATTATCTAACACAGTGCACAGTTACAAACCCATTAAGATTTCATCTTGGATTCAACAGAGCAGAAGTTGTTAAACACATGGGACAAAATCTTACTAAAGTGACCATACAAGTCATAAATACTCATACTCCGCCCAAGTAAAACACAAACAAGCCACACTTAGTGGGCCAGCGAAAGGCTTAGAGGTTGCACAGGAATATTCCTGGAGAAAAAAAAAGCCACAGGAACAAGCACTGCGACCAGGCACTTGCAGACTGCACTCTATATGGAACCTTCCTGGAAGTGCGTGGCACTGCACCTTGGTGTGACAATATGGAGGAAGTCCCTCACCTTCTTCTTGGTCTTGCCCCGGAGGAGCTCCTTGACGTGGTGGAGGTTGCAGGCGAAGGAAGGGAGACGCCGCACCGTCTGGATGTACAGCTTCTTCAACGCCACCTCAGAGTCGTACAGCGGCGTGTGGAACAACTTCCTCTTCTGCTCCTGTAGGAGAGAGGGAAACATTGCAGTCGTTAGTGTATGTAATTACCTTAGTTACAGGATGTGGGAAGTTCCACATTAAATATATAAACTAATAGAACTGCCGTAAGATGTATTTACTTCACATTAGTCATGGTAAAGTTAAATAAAACGGGGTTAAACATTTTAGGGGTACATAGGTTAGTTACCATCGTTCTCGACTCTTTTATGATTAATTTAATATAAAATAAACATGTCTTAGGGCTGGTTACACAATGAAGTAAATCTACTAAATTATGTACTAAGGCAAGGTACTAAATTAAATAAATGGTAAATAGTTAGATTTGACCTCGAACCCATTCCTGCTCCCGAATGTGTAAAGTAAGCAACCTCTGGAGAGGGAGAAGCTGCTACAGTCAATAGAGGCCCAGCCAGTGGTCATTGTGGTGAGACCTGCAGCCTACAACAGGGTCTCCCACAACACAAATTTCCTCCCGCCATTAATAGAAAGAAACATGACTTAAACAAAGAATTATATAGTCACTATTTGCTGCCACAAGTTGCAAGAATTAGTGAAAGTGCCAGTTCGGGTCATCTATTAGCTCAGATTATATTGACCAATTATTTTCTGTGTCTAGAATTGCTGGTAAGAAGTTAGGAAGACACTAATAACACTGGTGTGTCTAACTACCCATAGTCAAGTGCTACATAGTTAATATATCTGTTCTTGGTAAATGTTATGTTGTATCGTTTTCTTTCTTTCTTTCTTTATTTTCTATCTTTATTTTCTTTCTATATTCTGTTTGGCAATAAAGCCTCTAATCAAATAAATCTCAAAATAAATAATACCCAAATTTGTAACAAATTAGATGGCAAATTCCTTGGCATTCTCATCGACCACATGCTGAATTTCCAGGGACACATTCTAAATATATCTAAAAAAGTTTCAAAAACTGTTGGCATTCTTTCTAAGATCAGATATTATGTACCACGCCCTGCCCTGGTGACTCTCTATTACTCCCTTATCTATCCATATCTCAACTATGGTATTTGTGCTTGGGGCTCTACTACCCAAAATCACTTACGTCCTCTAATTACTCAACACAAAGCTGCTATTAGGACAATATCCAACTCTGGCCCCAGACATCACTCGGTACCCCTGCTCAAATCTCTGAATATGTTAGACATTAAGTCACTGCACATTCTCTCATGTGTATTATACATATATAAAACACTAAACTATAATGCCAATCCTGATCTCAAAAGCTTCATAGAAGGTTGTAACAGAACCCATGAGCACCACACCAGAAATAAACACAGTTTTGATATTCCTAGAGTACGACTTAAACTAGAAATTCACTACAAATCAAGGGGCCCAGAATGTGGAATGACCTTCCCAACCATGTTAAAGACTGTACCTCTCTCAACCAGTTTAAGTTAAAAACGAAGCTATACCTAATAAATTCCCTGTAACCTACCATACCCTTCTATTGTCAACCAATGTCTTTTTTTTTTTTTTTTTTCAAAAGAGCACTGTTTGACGACATAATTGTATTTGTGCTGCTTTTTCATCTGTGTTTTCATTTCTTGTTTTCATTCTACTCATTATGCTCAATTAGTCTTAAGCTTGTCATTTAAGTTTATCATGCCCGAAACGCTTTGCGTAATAGTGGCTTTAGGCATTGTATGTACTAGCTCTACCTATAAGTCAACCAATCTTTGTAAAAATTTACTTTATGTATGTACCTTACCTAAATAAAAATTTTATTTTTTTTTATTTTTATTATGGGTATGCACCCCATACCCATCCCGTGGGCTGTGGTGTAAAGGATTAGAGGAACATAATCGGCTCAGGAACTGAACCCTCTAGTTCGTTTAGCTAAGCAAATAATCTTTTGACGCTAGTTACACAATTATTAATGTTACATTTACATGTACACACTCATGCATACATGTACATATACATATTAGTGCTGGGAAGACGGGACACCACGAGCGTAGCTCTCATCCTGTAACTACACTTGGGTAATCACATACGTATACATATATACATACACATACTGTATGTATGTAGACAATATGAAGGTTGATGCAATTGAAAAACCTGACTTTATGAGAGGACATTATGGGAACCTTAGAAATTTTTTTAGTGAGTATAATTGGACAGACTTGTTGCTAGGCAAGGAAGTGAATGAGATGTATGTCAAGTTTTGTGAAATATATGATAAAAGCACAAAAATTTATACAAAAACAGAGAAGCAGAACTAGGAAACAGGATTGGTTCAACAGAAAGTGCGAGAGGGCCAGAGACCAAAAGACAGAAAAATGGAATCAATACAGGAAGAGGCCAAACCCCCAAACATACCAGCGATACAAAGATGCGAGAAACAACTACACGGCAGTGAGGAGAGAGGCAGAAAGAAATTTTGAAAAAGGGATTGCCGACAAATGTAAAACAGAACCAGGTCTATTCTATAAATTCATAAACAACAAATTGCAGGTAAAGGATGATATACAGAGGTTGAAAATGGGAAATAGATTCACGGAAAATGAAAAGGAAATGTGTGAAACATTAAACGAAAAGTTCCAAAGTGTGTTTGTACAAAATGGAATCTTCAGGGAACCAGATACAATAAGAATTCCAGAGAACAACATAGAGCACATAGAGGTGTCTAGAGACGAAGTGGAAAAAATGCTCAAGGAGCTAAATAAGAACAAAGCAGTTGGTCGAGATGGAGTTTCACCAAGGGTTCTGAGAGAATGTGCACCTGAGCTCAGCATTCCTTTTCAACTGATTTTTCAGGCATCCCTGTTTACAGGAGTTGTAGCTGATGTGTGGAAAAAGGCTAACATAGTTCCAATCTACAAAAGTGGAAGCAGGGAAGACCCCCTTAATTATAGACCGGTATCATTGACAAGTGTAATAGTCAAAATATTGGAAAAAATAATTAAAACTAAATGGGTAGAACACCTGGAGAGAAATGATATAATATCAGACAGACAGTATGGTTTTCGATCTGGAAGATCCTGTGTATCGAATTTACTCAGTTTCTATGATCAAGCAACAGAGATATTACAGGAAAGAGATGGTTGGGTTGACTGCATCTATCTGGACCTAAAAAAGGCTTTCGACAGAGTTCCACATAAGAGGTTGTTCTGGAAACTGGAAAATATTGGAGGGGTGACAGGTAAGCTTCTAACATGGATGAAAAATTTTCTGACTGATAGAAAAATGAGGGCTGTGATCAGAGGCAATGTATCGGACTGGAGAAATGTCAAGTGTAGTACCACAGGGTTTAGTTCTTGCACCAGTGATGTTTTTTGTCTACATAAATGATCTACCAGTTGGTATACAGAATTATATGAACATGTTTGCTGATGATGCTAAGATAATAGGAAGGATAAAAAACTTAGATGATTGTCATGCCCTTCAAGATGACCTGGACAAAATAAGTATATGGAGCACCACTTGGCAAATAGAATTTAATGTTAATAAATGCCATGTTATGGAATGTGGAATAGAACATAGACCCCACACAACCTATATATTATGTGAGAAATCTTTAAAGAATTCTGATAAAGAAAGAGATCTAGGGGTGGTTCTAGATAGAAAACTATCACCTGAGGACCACATAAAGAATATTGTGCGAGGAGCCTATACCACGCTTTCTAACTTCAGAATTGCTTTTAAATACATGGATGGCGATATACTAAAGAAATTGTTCACAACTTTTGTTAGGCCAAAGCTAGAATATGCAGCAGTTGTGTGGTGTCCATATTTTAAGAAGCACATCAACAAACTGGAAAAGGTGCAAAGACATGCTACTAAGTGGCTCCCAGAACTGAAGGGCAAGAGCTACGAGGAGAGGTTAGAGGCGTTAAATATGCCAAAACTAGAAGACAGAAGAAAAAGAGGTGATATGATCACTACATACAAAATAGTAACAGGAATTGATAAAATCGATAGGGAAGATTTCCTGAGACCTGAAACTTTAAGAACAAGAGGTCATAGATTTAAACTAGCTAAACACAGATGCCGAAGAAATAAGAAAATTCACTTTTGCAAACAGAGTGGTAGATGGTTGGAACAAGTTAGGGGAGAAGGTGGTGGAGGCCAAGACCGTCAGTAGTTTCAAAGTGTTATATGACAAAGAGTGCTGGGAAGACGGGACACCACGAGCGTAGCTCTCATCCTATAACTACACTTAGGTAATTACACACATCAATAATCTTTTGTATCACAAGTGATTCAACAAGAGGCTCACAACAGTCACTATACAAGGCACTTTACATCTATGGTGAGTCACACAGTTACTAGTCTTGCTCCACACCCACCCAACTGGGCGGGAGCTTTACAGTCATGTGCTCCACACCCACCCAACTGGGCGGGAGCTTTACAGTCACGTGCTCCACACCCACCCAACTGGGCGGCAGCTTTACAGTCGCGTGCTCCACACCCACCCAACTGGGCGGGAGCTTTACAGTCACGTGCTCCACACCCACCCAACTGGGCGGCAGCTTTACAGTCGCGTGCTCCACACCCACCCAACTGGGCGGCAGCTTTACAGTCATGTGCTCCACACCCACCCAACTGGGCGGCAGCTTTACAGTCGCGTGCTCCACACCCACCCAACTGGGCGGCAGCTTTACAGTCGCGTGCTCCACACCCACCCAACTGGGCGGCAGCTTTACAGTCGCGTGCTCCACACCCACCCAACTGGGCGGCAGCTTTACAGTCGCGTGCTCCACACCCACCCAACTGGGCGGCAGCTTTACAGTCACGTGCTCCACACCCACCCAACTGGGCGGCAGCTATACAGTCACGTGCTCCACACATTATATAATGAGGCCACCCAACTGGGCGGCAGCTTTACAGTCGCGTGCTCCACACCCACCCAACTGGGCGGGAGCTTTACAGTCGCGTGCTCCACACCCACCCAACTGCCGGCTACAGCTCCACAGACGCGTGCTCCACACCCACCCAACTGGGCGGCAGCTTTACAGTCATGTGCTCCACACCCACC